GTAATACAAAGCTAATCTATTATACAGATAGCACAAAATGAAGATCTAAACTAAAAGAGATCTAAAGGAAGATAACCCAATCAAAATTGTTACACATAATATCCTAAAGAATATATCTATAAACTTTTGTGAGTTTTGGATACTTCATTATTAAAATATAGACAAAAATGTTACACGTCACTACTTTCACCAGGGACTGTAGAGAGAAAATTTCAATTTTCACTATGTTTTATTAGTAAATTTAGCCTCTGAGTCATTACTTTTGGTCATCACTGTAAATAGAATATTACTTGTATTTTACTTCTTAAATTTTTTTAGCAATATTATATATTTTACTTCTAGTTTAAGACTTGTATTCTTTTTAATTTTATCTAAATTCTAAATTTTCAAAAATATAAATATTATATTAATTTATAAAAATTATTATAAATAATAACTTTAACTTGATAATAATAAAAAAATTAAATAAATATAGAATATAATTTTTGATTAATAAAAAAATTTGTTTATATATTTTGAAAATTATAATAATTTAACAAAATTAAACTATTATATATAAAAAATTATGTTATTATAATTTAATTTTCATGAATAATAATTAATATCAAATAAAATAATTGTAAAAATAAAATATATCTTCAAGTATTATTCAAAATTTTATTATAAATATAACTTTACTAAATATTATTAGGATTTTGTAAAATGAAAAATCAGATATCAATATAATTATAATTATACAGATTTATTAAATATGATTCTAAAACTTCTTAATAATATATCTATAATTATAGCACACAAGTTTGCATATAAGTTATTAAAATATATAAATATGTATAATAAAGGGTTAAAGAATAAAATTGCTGAGTAAATCATTAGTAAATTTAAATCATATTAGCAATTACTGAAAAATATTGAGAGAATTATAGAAAATTAATATAACTTATTTATTAAAACTATGAAAGATTCAACTGGTATAAACTAAATGATAATAATATAATGATTAATAATCATCTAATATCACAGTAATATAATTATCTAAAGATTGATTTAAAAGGTAAAGATTAAGACAAATATTAAAGTGAGACACCAGTCTTCCTGAGATTTTTAATTTGTGCTGGTTTACATTATTTTTTGCGTCAGATTACAGCGAAGTAAAATAGCACATCATATGATTATTATTCACATGATATGCTATACACATTGATAAGTCTATATTACGATTACTTTATGTCACATGCATAATTTACAGCCTGTTACGTAAATATCTACAAATCGAAGTCAAAAAATGAGAGCAAACAAACTATCAAATAACCTCTTTCTGTTTGACAAGAGACATTAATAAATCAAAATGGCTTCTCAAGTCAGACGAAATATTCCTTCTTTTTCAGCTGTAACCTCCAGTTTCAAGTCATACATTAGCTCATTACCATTATTAACCACCATAATCGCGTTACTTTCCATTCTTATTTATATTGTTGATTCGATTCAGACATTCTCTAATAATTATTTGTTTAACTTGCTTGCTCTTGAGCCAAAAGCGTTTTTCCATTGGGGAGGTAACAAATATAAAATATAACGTTATACGTTCGCTGCACGCAAAGAAAGTGATTTGGAACATTTCATAACTAACTCGTTGAATGATTAAATTTGGAAACGAACAGTATATCGACTTTTTACATTTCCGTTTCCACATTTGTCACTTGGACACATTTTATTTTGTCTGTTGGCGTTTGTGCCATTAAGCACAGCCATAGAACATACAATTGGAACATTGGAATATTGCTATGCGTTGATAACGGTGTTTACGATATTATCGGGATCGTTTTATTTGATTGGGTCGTTGATATTTGACTACAGGGAGGTAATGTTGGGTGGGCTGAGTACTTGGATTTTTGGTGTTGTGGTTTGGGAAAGTAGAGAATTGGCAGGACGAGAACGAGAGTAAGTGTTTGTTTATGGTATAATTAACTTATGTATCAATACTTAAAAGTTAAATTATACTCTTTTCTAGTATCTTTGGAATAATTAGGGTTCCTGCACATTTCTATCCACTTGTTTTATTACTATTAATGGAAATT